GTCAATCTATAACAACATTCTGCTTTTAGAGATTGGTATGAAAGATGTTTATTGTTGTTTTAGGTCACTAAGTTTGGGGGATAATTTATTATTCAACAAGAAAACACCTTCCTTTCTGGTCTCCAACACTCCAGGCACATTCCCTGAGGGTGTTTGCATTTGCTGTTCCCTCTGCCTGGAATACATTTTTCTGGACAGTTGCACTATTCCATCCCTCATTTCCTTTAGGGGTTTATGCAGAGGTCATTTTGAGGACTTTCCTAGTTACTGCATCTAAAATCTAACCCCCCTTCTATTTCATTTTGCTTCCTGCCAATTATCAACATTTCTCCTTCTGTTTACTGTTTTACCCCCAGATCCTAGAACAATGCCCAGTTCATAGTAAGCACTCAGTATGTACTTGCAGGTAAATGAATACTTCTGTTTAGTGGAGAACTTCCAGCAAGCACATCTATAATCTGTGCACTCATGGTACCCAGCAGCAAGTATGTGGCTTACTTAAATCACTGTTCCAACACAGTTGCAGTTCTCACTCCTTCCTACTTTCAAATATGAGTTTCCCTGATGAGGTTGGTAGGCCCCAAGACGGCACCCAATGATCCTTGCTGCCTGGTAATCTGGAAAGAGAAATTCCACTCGTGTAATTCCTTCTCTTTGGGTATGCCTGGGACCTATGACTTGTTTCTAATAGAATGCAAAGGTGACAAGATGTCATTTCCATAATGCTAACCTCAACCCTAGACCAAGCCAGGGTGCCATCTTGTTAGAAAATAGAAACATTTTCAGGGCTTCATTCCGTTTGAAATGTTTTCCCCCTTTATTTTATGTTTTTCAAATTACAAAAGCAATATACAATGCAAAAGTATTTACACAACTTACTACCCTTCTCCACCAAGGAAACCAATGAATGTTAACACTTTCATGTATATTTTTCCACACTTTTCTCATATATTTTCTACACTTCCACATGCATCTATACATACATAGGAGTTTTAATTCTTTTAAAAAATAGAATCATAAACGTTATTATGAAATGTGCCCTTTTCAATTAACGATATATACCATGAACATCCCCACAAATTAGCAGAATTCTACCTTCCCCATTCCCAGCCAAATCTACTAACTCACACATATGTGGTATCACACATAATTCAGTCATTTATGTATTTTCCTTTCCTTGGTCTTCCTTTTCCCTATACCCCTAACTCTCCCATAACCTACCTGAATTACCCACCTCCCTCCAAGTCAATGCATACTCTTCTATACTTTTCTCCATGCACATAAAATCAAATAAACATATATGGATACCTGTTTATTGCTGATAAACACCTAGAGACATTCTGTTAACGATTTACAAAAGTGGAGTCATATTTAACAAACTTACTATCTTGCATTTTTCACTCAAGAGAACATTGTGGAATTCCATTCAAGTCCTCTAGCATAGTTTTAATCTGTCTACCTTAATGGCTATATTAATATTCTATGGAATGGATATACTGTAGTTCTTCCCTTCCTCCAATTTCCCAACTGATGGGGATTTATTCTGATTCTAATGTTTGCATTGGTCTTTTGTTTTGTTTTGCCATTGGGAACAATTTTACAATAAATGTCCATGTTCACAAGTTCATCTGTCTTTTACGTATTGGAGCTTTTACTTCTAAGGGAAGATTCTCCAAAGTGACAAAAGTATTTTAGTCATATTACCAGATTTTTTTTTTTTTTGAGACACAGTCTCGCTCTGTTGCCCAGGCTGGAGTGCAATGGTGCGATCTCGGCTTACTGCAGCCTCCGCCTCTTGGGTTCAAGCGATTCTCCTGCCTCAGCCTCCCAAGTAGCTGACGTTACAGACATCTGCCACCATGCCTGGCTAATTTTTGCATTGTTAGTAGAGACAGGGTTTCACCATGCTGGCAAGGCTGGTCTTGAACCCCCAACCTCAGGCAATCTGCCCACCTTGGACTCCCAAAGTGCTAGGATTACAGACGTGAGCCACTGCACTGGCCTAAATATTACCAGATTTCTTTCCAAAAGAGTAATTTGTATTACTTTTCAAAATTTATTTCTCCACCAGCAATGTATAACATCTTTTGTTCTGCCAGCTAAAAACGCTGTTACATAGTGATATCTTATTTTAACTTTAAATCTGCATCCCCAAATGACTACTATGGATAAACATTTTTGGATGGGTCCGTCGGCCACTGAGATTTGCTCTTCTCACGTGTCACCTCATATTCTTTGCCACGTTTGGCTACTGGGTTTTCTTTCCTGCCCATTTGATGAATGCCTTCTCTCTGATCAGCTCTACAAATATTTTCCCACAATCTATTATCTATTGACTTTGTTTATGGCATCTTTTGTCACTCAAAAGGTTGTGCCTTTTAGGTAGTCAAATGTTTATTTTATTTATTTTTTTCAGACGGAGTCTTGCTCTGTTGCCCAGGCTAGAGTGCAATGGCGCGATCTCCACTCCCTGCAAACCCTAGCTCCCCAGTTCAAGCAATTCTCATGCCTCACCTTCTCAAGTAGCTGGGACTACAGGCATGCACCATCACAGCCAGCTAATTTTTGTATTTTTAGTGGAGACGGGGTTTCACCATGTTGACCAGACTATCCTTGAATTCCTGACCTTAGGTGATCTGCCCACCTTGGCCTCCCAAAGTGTTGGGATTACAGGCATGAGCCACCGCACCCGGCCTTCAAATGTTTATTTCTAAGTAGCTTCTGAGTGTCCTGTGTTGGTAAAGTTAGTCTCTCCCAACTCCTAGACTGTACATGTAGGCTCCTTTGATTTTCTTTTAAGAATTGTGTTGTTTGAAAGTTTTGTCTTAAATCCACCCATAATTTACTTTTGTGCTGTTAATCCAACTTTTCTTCCTTCAAGATTAATAAGTTATTGTTCCAGAATTCTTTTTAAGTAAACTACTCTTTTGCCCTATGGTTTGAAATTCCACCTTTTTCACATATGAAAAACTTCATATATATCGATGTCTATTTCTGAATTTTCTGCTGTGTTCCATTATTTACCTGTTCCTTGCCAATACAATATTAATTTCATTAGAATGACTTCAAGTTATCTTCTGATATCTAGCATGATATTTTAAAAATATTGAATTATTATGGATCTATAATTGTATATATTCATTGGGTACACATGATGTTTTGATACACGGTATGAGTTTTTTCATATTCTCAAAAAGTAATCATTGAGATTTAGTGTACTTCCAAAAGAAGTACATATCAATTATTAGGTGTTTCTTTTCAGCATGGAGAATGGCTCTTGATTTTGGTACCCCGGCTTCTTAGAAAAGTTAGCTTAACTCAAAAAATAATTAGAGTCTTGTCATGTATTGGTGTACAACCATATTATCAGTAAACACGGATGGTTTTACCTTTTCTGCAGCTTATATCATTTCTTTTTATTGCCTTCACTGGATCCTCTAAGACAATACTGAATTCCTGATTTTTAAAAATGCCTTTGGCATAATATATGCTATGAGATTTCAGCTAATTTTTTTTTAAAAAACCTCTTTAAGTGGTTACCATGTATTACAGTGTATATTAACACATTGTATGAAATCCTTTCTCCGTATCTGTGGATAGTTCATGTGATTCTTCTCCTTTAAGCTGTTAATTTTATTGATGTATTTCCTATTACTGAACTAGCTTGGCATTCCTAGGATGATTCTCACTATGCCATTCTTTGGGCATATGGCTGAATTCTATTTGCTAGTATTTTATTTATAATTTTTGTTTCTATTTTCATAAGACTGGTTTTCTTTTTTTCAAATATCTGTATTTGATTTTGGTGTTAACACTTATTCTGACTTCATAAAACAAACAAGCAGCACAGTTTATGGATTGTATTACATCCATATAATAAATAACACTGGTACTGGCTGGGCACAGTGGCTCATGCTCGTAATCGCAGCACTTTGGGAGGCCAAGGCGGGTGGATCACCTGAGGTCAGGAGTTCAAAACCAGCCTGGCCAACATGGGGAAACACCATTTCTACTAAAAATGCAAAAATTAGGCAGGCGTTGTGGCACACGCCTGTAATCCCAGCTACTTGGGAGGCTGAGGCAGGAGAATTGCTTAAACCTGGGAGGCGGAGGTTGCAGTGGGCTGAGATCACACCATTGCACTCTAGCCCGGGCAACAAGAGTTAAACTCCATCTCAAAAAAAAATAATAAAATAAAAATTAGAAAATAAATAACACTGGTATTACTCTTTCTTTAAGAGACAGATAGAACTAAGCATGAAATCATCTGAGCTTGGTACATTTTCCCATTATAGATCTGTAATCACTTTTTTGAGTTTTTCAATGATAATTGTTCTCCCAAGTTTTCTACTTTTTATTGCAGTTTTCATAACTTAAAGTTTACAAGAAAAGCACCCACTTCCTCTGTTTAAAAAATATGTTGATTAGAGTTGTATGAGGTATTTTTCTGTCACTTAAAAAATCATATGGATATCTGTGGTTATGTCTCCCTTCTCATTCTGAACCAGGTAATCTTACATGGAGGCAAATCTTAAAAAATGTAGATTCCATGTGGCCATTTATTTTCTTATATGGATGACATGGCAACTCAGGGACACACACTTCTTTTCAAACATTGAAATAGTAAAAACATTGAGATTTAGTGTCCAGGACACTTGCAAGGAAATTTATATGAAAAAAAATGTTCTTGATTTAATTTGCAAAGAGAAAGAAAAGAAATTCTCCTTCAGTGGTCTATGCATGAAACATTTCTGAATTTTACAACCTGTATAGAATAGCGTTTCTATGCTACTAATTTGCTGCAAGACATTTTCAGCAAGACCAAGAAAATATGAACAGTGTACTATAAACCAGGATGATGCTACATTTCATCAAACAGTGAGTGTGCTGGGCTGTCAAGTTTACAGTGTTTCATTTACCCAACATCAGGTTCTTATACTATTCCTTAGCTTTGTGTTTTCAATATGAATAACTATATTTTAGTAAAGTTTTTGGCCAACTTATCAAAATACATTTAAAAAACACTGCTTTATTATTCTGCAGAGGACAATAACAACCTCTATAGCCATTTACATGCATTACAAAAAGGTGGGAAAATGTAGCTGGTATATTAAAGTTTTTTTAAAACAATAGTGGGCCATGTCATTATTGTTATTTTTTTGTATTGTTAAGACATCAAAAGGCAATGATGACACTTAAAGTGAAAAAGTTTTGTGAATGGCATTCTATATATTATGTGACATGTGTGTGATATTCACATTTTATGTTAAATTCATATTTACAATTCCAAAATAAAAATAGTGCTGATTGTATGGCTCACTGTGGAATATGTCATAGTGTGCCTTTAAGTCTCTTCACAGATGTTTTGTATTCTGTTGTTATTCCATTTAATACATTTTTAATCATTTACATGCCAGGGTGACCATGCTTATGTTTTATAAAGTATTTTCTAGAAAAGTCTGTGTTACAATTAGATCATGATTCCATGATAATAAAACACTGTCAAAATTTATTAAAATGGTAAGATTTCTCCTTAGGATAAATTCCCTTCATACAATGAAACCAGATATTTTGCTCAAGGATTTCCTACAATTACTAAGTTTTCATTCCTGTAGGCATTCTTCCTAGCATGAATTTTCTGATGTCTACTGAGGTTTGGCTTCTGGTAGAAAGCTTTCCCACATTCATTGCACTCATAGGGCTTCTCTCCCGTGTGGGTTCTCCAATGTTTATTGAGGCATGACTTCTGGCTGAAGGATTTTCCACATTCTCTGCAACGATAGGGTCTTTCTCCTGTGTGCATTTTTCGATGTACGTTGAGGTATGACTTCTCGCCAAATGATTTCCCGCATTCACTACACATGAAGGGTCTCTCTCCTGTATGTGTTCTCTGATGTTCTGTGCGGTGTGACTTCTGGGTGAAGGCTTTCCCACAGAAAAAGCATTCAAAGGGTCTTACCCCAGTGTGAATCCTCTGGTGTTTGATGAGGGTTGACTTATGTGAAAAGGCTTTCCCACAGTCAGTGCACCCATAAGGCTTTTCCCCAGTGTGACTTCTCTGATGCCTAATGAATTCAGACTTGTAGCAGAAGGCTTTCCCACACTCACTACAGACATGGGGTTTCTCTGTAGGTGGAACCCTCTTCCGTTTGTACACGAGAGAATCACTTACTGTTGGTTTGTACATAAGTGCTGGGTTCTGGGTGAAAGCTTTCTCACAATGACTGCATCCCCAGGGCTTCTCTCCATTAGGTCGTCTACCATGATTTATACACTGAAGCAATTTCCCATAACCATAACACTCATCTTGCTTTTTTGCACAGTTTCTCTTAAAACCAGTGAAGTCTAAATTATGGCTCAAATTCTTTCCACGAGGGTTCCAGTTATTAGGGCTCTGGATTGAAGAAAAAAGATCAGAGCTCAGACGTGATATTTTCCCAAACTTACTATAGTCACGGCTTTTTTCCTTGGCCAGTGTTTTCTTGCTTATGGCTGCACCTTGCCTCAAAATCATGTCTTGCCGTCTTTTCCTCTGGATATTAACTTGCCAGGTGTCTTCTGGAGAAAGTACAGTGAACCATCTTTATGAAACTTCACACCACTTGAGAAATGCTCTCAAAATTTAAAGAGTGCACAGCACATCAATACAGAACATGAACCATAACCCAAAGCACAAACACAGGGAAGAGTGTTCTGTGAATAAAGAGGATTCTGAAGACTAGCACAAATGGAATGCAATATAATCAGAGTATAGACAGCAATAATTTCAAAGAAAATAGAATATTACAGAGCAGAGTTTGGCAAACTTATGGGGTCAGAAAATAATGGCTTTGTGGCCCATATGGTCTCCGTTACAATTTCTCAAGTCTCCCACCGTACATGAAAATATAGATAACATGTAAACATAAGAATGTGGCTGTGTTCTAATGAAACTTTATTCATAAAGCAGGTGGCCAATCAGCAGGCCATAGTTTGCCGATCCCTGTTATAGAAGAAAGAAGGTTAAATATTATGCGGTACCATGCAATCCAACATGTGAGACTTCAAGCGGCAATTCTGGCCTTACTTGGAGTTTGATAGATGTGCAGAATCTGAGGCCCCGCCCCAGACCTTCTTAGTCAGAATCTGCATTTTAGCAAGATGCCCAGGTGATTCCTCACACCCTGGGGCTTAACAAGCACTGGTACAGCAGTCATCCAAGGGTGTATCATGTTGGGCTAGTTAGTTACCATATAAATGGCAAAGCTGTCTACAGTGAACCAGATAAAAGAATAAAATCAACAAGACTAACTAGGACTTAAGTAAGAGTTCTTAACTTGGTGGGCAGAAATCAGGGGACTTGTGAACTTTGATGGAAAAGAAATTATAGTAAGAAAACAACAAAAAAAGAAATATCTTTGTTTTCACTGAGTTCTAACTACAATTGAACATTGTCTTTGACCATGAATAGGAACAACTAAACCAGCAGTATTAGCAGTTCCTGTGACTTGGTACTAGTTTGTGAACAGTGTTATTTTCATGTCACATTATTACGTTTATAATCATCTCTTCTTTGAGATCATGATAGTTATTAGACCTGATGCTAGACCTCATTAATGTATAAATTAAAAAGTACATCTGCTATTATATTGCTGAGTTTCACAATATTTTGGTAACTATTTTCTATCTACTTATTTTGATAATTACTGTAGTCATTTGCTTTATAATCTTATGAATTTTATTGTATTTTTATATGTAAGAATGAGGTCTATAGCCTTCAAAAGAATGCCTAACAAGTCCATGGCACAAAAATAATTAATAACCCCACACTTAAAGACATTCAATCATCAAATCAAATAATCTGGGTCTGATTGTAGGAGATAACAGTGGAAAATTAAAAGTGAAGAGGGACTGGGCATGGTGGCTCATGCCAGTAATTGCAGCACTTTGGGAGGCTGAAGCAGGTGGATTGCTTGAGCCCAAGAGTCTGAGTCCAGCCTGAGCAGCATTATAAAACCCCATCTCTATGAAAAAAAAAAAAAAAAAAGAAAGAAAACTAGCCAGGTGTGATAGCGTGCGAATGTAATCCCAGCTACTCGGGATGTTAAGAGGTGGGAGGACCACTTGAGCCCAGGAGGTCTAGGCTGCAGTGAGCCATGATCATGCCACTGCACTCCAGCCTGGGTGACAGAGACCCTGTCTCAAAAAAAAAAAAAAAAGACAGAAAGATTTAAAGCCATTTCTCAGAAGAAAAAATCAACAAAACCACACATATGAATGGAACAGTTAGAGTGAGTGGTAAAGGCAGAAGATTCAAAATGACCACATGGTAGCAAAGCTCTGGAATAAAACCAAGATGAAGTTGTGTGTGTGTGTGTGTGTGTGTGTGTGTGTGTGTGTGTGTGTGTGTGTATGTCAGGGGTAGCAAGGACAAATGAAGATGACTTTAGTTTTTGACACACAAAGAACAAGGTAAGTGCACACCTGTAGTGTAATCCACAGACTGGTTAAATGGAGGGGTGGGCAGTGCAAGGAAGAAAAAAGGGCTCAACACGGCAAAGAGGCTGGTTGTGAAGATCATGTACTCTCAAAATGGATGAGTTCTTTGAGAGGGTTATATCACTGGAAACAGATCAAGTTATGAAAAACAGAAAATACAATAGTTCTTTGGAAGGAAAAGGCTGAGTTTGAGCCAGGTAAACAGAGAATACAGAGTAGTTGGAAAAAGGGAGGCTGACTAGACACAGTCTTGTGGAATTTGCAGTTATGAAATTTTCAGAAGAGGAGAAGAAAGAAGAGCAGGGCAGCTGATAACCAGGATACCACATCTCAGGAGGGCTGAAAAGTACAGTTTAATGGAGAAAAACACCCCAGAGGCAAAAGTTCAGAGGCATCCCTAAGAGCGGGCCATCCATCAACCCTCAGGGTACCATGGGTATTGCTGGAATGTCACAGAGCTGAAGGGAGAGGGGCAGTTAGTCTGCGTGTTAATCAGCAGTGGTTAAGGTGGTCCAGCTCAGTAATTTCCTTCACACCTGCCCACCCCAACATGGAATTCACTGCTTCCTCTTCTCTGATCCCACAGTCCTCTATGGGAGTGATTTAAATTTGAGTCCGGAAATTAGGGAAAGGATGGGTAATGAGACTGCATATGGCAGGTAGCTCTGAAGCATTTAATCTGGAAAGTGTCAGAACAGAGAATAGGAAGCAGGAAGAGGAGAATCACAGAAGCTTTTATTTGCAAGAATACCTGCATGTGAAAGATTCTGGAGAAAGAGAGATGGACTAAGCACATAAGGGCAGAGATGCAATCAAGTAGAGGCAAGAAAAACACTCAGATGGGCAGTGGGTTTGCATGGAAGTGGAAGAGTCATTCATGCAGCTGAAGCTCTCGGAGGAAAGTCAAGGCTTTTAAGAGAACGCTGAACAAAATTCCAAAGGTGCCAGCCTCCTTCAGAACCCCTTTTGCTAGATTTATCACACTTACCCCAACAGTGGCAGCCCAGGCATGCTGCCTCACCAATCCATGGTGCTTCTTCTTGCTCCAGCCTGAGGATCACATCTGGTTTGGTGCCTTCGTAACCTGTTCCGGGGAAATGATCCAGGCCTTGGGCTGAGCTCCTTGGTCTTCAGGGCCTCTCAGGCAGCTTTAAAGGCTGCACAACAGACATTATACTTGGGAGGGGACTAAACACACACCTTGTTCAGAACCAAAAGGAATTAGTAATCCAGGACCATGGAAACTCAAGCCACACCCACTGAGGCAGCACAGGGTAAGAATGTATTCTGTGCTGCCAGATGCCGAGGTTCAAATCCTGATTCTGCTATGTACTAGCTGGGTGACTCTGGGCTAGTTACTTCACCTCTCTGTGCCTCAATTTCTAAATCTGTAAAAGAGTGGTACTAACAGTAACTAGCTCAAAAGGCTTTTATGAGGATGAAATAAGTTAATACTTTTAAGGTGGCTAAAACAGTTTCTGGCACATAGAAAAGTGCTAGATAACCACTAAATAAATTACTAAATAAATATTTCAGAGGTTCTAGGTACTTCAGTTCTTTGAGACAGAGTTTTGCTCTGGTCGCCCAGGCTGGAGTGCAATGGTGAGATCCCTGCTCACTGCAATCTCCACCTCTCAGGTTCAAGTGATTCTCTTGCCTCAGCCTACCCAGTAGCTGGGATTACAGGTGCCCGCCACCATACCCAGCTAATTTTTGTATTTTTAGTAGAGACAGGGCTTCACCATGTTGACCAGGATGGTTTCAAACTCCTGACCTCAGGTGATCCATCTGCCTCAGTCCCCCAAAGTTCTTCAGTTGCTTTTAGCAACTGAGAAAGGAAAGGTGGTCATTCAAACATAATCTGCATTGTGTGGTGAAGGTGTTCTTACCCACTGAGACGAGGTTGCTATAGGTTTCCAGCATCACATCCCGATACAGAGCCCTCTGAGTAGGATTCAGCTGGTGCCACTCCTCTTGGGTGAAGCCCACAACCACATCTTTGAATGACACAGGTGTCTGTTGAAACAAAAATGACAGTAAGTCATGTAGAAAAAAATGTTTGTGCAGGGCCAGGCATGGTGGCTCATACCTGTAATCCTAGCACTTTGGGAGGGCAGATGCTTGAGGTCAAGAGTTCAACACTAGCCTGGTAAACATGGTGAAAGCCCATGTATACTAAAAATACAAAAATTAGCCAGCCATGGTGGTGCACACTTGTAATCCCAGCTATTTGGGAGGCTGAGGTGGGAGAATCACTTCAGCATAAGAGTTGGAGGTTGCAGTGAGCCAAAATCGCACCACTGCACTCGAGCCTAGGTGACAAAGTGAGACTCCATCTCAAAAAAAAAAAGTGTTTGTGCAAGGGATGGTATTGATTTTCATTACATTTACAGGTTAGAGCTTATCATCTATCTGGGAGGGCTTTTACATTCTTGGCTTTGTATATGGTGGGGAAAATGAAAATCACATTGGAAGCTAACTACCATTGCCATTCATACTTTGAGTCAACAAACATTGAAGACCTACTGTGTGTTTCACCCAGTGTTGGTTGCTGTGGTCTCAGTCATAAAAGGGTCCTGACCCCAAGGAGCCCACTGTCTGGCACAGAGAGAGCAACATGTAAAACCATCAGAGTAACAGTGTCACAAGAGCTGTGATGGCAGGACATCCAGGCTATGGCATATAGAGAAGTGAATGACCTGTTAAATTTTTCAGGGTCTGGTTATTCCTCAAAGACCAGGGATATGGAGAGCTGAGTCTTTCTTCTCTGCAGGAAGATGGAAAACTGCATTCTATGCAGGGGAGCAGCATGAACAAAGGCCTGGGGGCAAAACAGTGATTTTAGGGGTGGCAAGTTACTTAGTAACAAGAGAAAAATATGCAGAGGCTGGGTGTGGTGACTCACGCCTGTAATCCCAGCACTTTGGGAAGCTGAGGCAGGCAGATCCCAAGGTCAGGAGATCAAAACCATCCGGGCTGTCACAGTGAAACCCCATCTCTACTAAAAATACACAAATTAGCTGGGCGTGGTGGCAGGCGCCTATAGTCCCAGCTATTCAGAAGGCTGGGGCAGGAGAATCGCTTGAACCCGGGAGGCGGAGGTTGCAATGAGCCAAGATTGCGACACTGCACTCCAGCCTGGGCAACAGAGTGAGACTCCATCTCAAAAAAAGAAAAAAAGGACACAGAGGTCTGCCACTAATTAAATGATAGACTTTAGGACAATGAAAACTCTATCAAAGAAGAAGTCTATGCAGAAAGCATATTCTAGAAGGCATGAGGTGAGCTGCTTGCATCCTATGTGAAGTGGTATAATGCTAATTTTAACTGTGAAAAGTTAAAATCTATATTGTATCCCTAGAGTAACCATGAAAATCACAACGTGAGGTATACCTGATGTAAATAAACAGAATATGCTTTCTAACAGCATGCCTAATAATACTCCTGTGAGAAAAATCACCATCTATGAGTCTGCTTTCCTGAGAACTCAGCCTGTATGTATTTACTAACTGTATGTACATACAAACTGTACATACTTACAATGCATCCCTTTTTTATTCTAGGACAGTTTCACCGGGAAGGAAAACTGGGCTACTTAACATGATACTCACCTGGTAGTTGATCATTTTCTGCTGTTCTTGGAAAAAGATCTGACACCTGTACACACGTAGTGGGAAGAAGATGGAGAAAGAGAAAACAGAGTACAGCGTGTGAGGGATTAGGCCTGTCTTGGAAATTGCAAATTCCCTTTGTAAATCTTGTACAAAAATCCATGCTTTTTTTTTTTTTTTTTGATGGAGTTTCGCTCTTGTTGCCCAGGCTGGAGTGCAATGGCGCGATATTGGCTCACCACAACCTCCACCTTCTGGGTTCAGGCAATTCTCCTGCCTCAGCCTCCTGAGTAGCCGGGACTACAGGCACACGCCACCATGCCCAGCTAATTTTTTTTTTTGTATTTTTAGTAGAGACGGGGTTTCACCATGTTGATCAGGATGGTCTTAATCTCTTGACCTCGTGATCCACCCGCCTCAGCCTCCCAAAGTGCTGGGATTACAGGCGTGAGCCACCGCGCCTCGCCTAAAAATCCATACTTTTAGCTGGGCGTGGTGGCTCACACCTGTACTCCTAGCACTTTGGGAGGCCAAGGTAGGAGAGTTACTTGAGGCCAGGAGTTAGAGACCAGAGTGAGCAATATGGCAAAACCTTGTCTCTACAAAAAAGATAAAAAATTAGCCAGGCATGGTGGTGCATGCCTATAGTCCCAGATACCCAGGAGGCTGAGGTGGGAGGGTTGCTTGAGCCCAGGAGGTCAAAGCTGCAGTGAGCCACGATCCCACTACTGCACTCCAGCCGGGGTGACACAGTAAGACCCTGTCTCAAAAATTAAATATAAATAAACAAACAAATAAATATCCTTTATCTCTTGTTTCAAATACTTTGAAATATTGTATAGGTCATAAAGCACAGACCATAAAGCATAGCTAGTATAGTATCTAAATGCCCCACACCCCAAGACATGTAATGATCATAAAAGGAAAAAAGGTAACTTTGCCCTGGAGAAACTTGGCAGTATCGCTTAGTCAAGCGATCAATTAACGTGACCAGTAATGAGACAGAAGACATCATGTGCCTCCTGTGAAGGGTACAACATCCCTTCTGTGGCATTCATACTCCAAATGAACCTAAACCTAATCAATGAGGAGACATCAGGCAAAACCATACTGAGTTACACTATACAAAATAACCTACCTATACTCTTCAAAAATGTCGACCTCATGGAAGACGAAGACTGAGAAACTGCTCTTGATTAAAGGAGACTAAAGGGTTGTGTCACCTAAAGGCAGCATATGATCCTGGATTGGAACCTGCAATGGAAAAAGAAAAGGTGCCACAGGGCCAGGCGCAGTGGCTCACACCTGTAATTTGGGAGGCCGAGGTGGGCAGATCGCCTGAGGCCAGGAGTCTGAGGCCAGCCTAGGCAACATGGTGAAACCTTATCTCTACTAAAAATACATAAATTAGCCGGGTGTGCTTGCAGACGCCTGTAATCCCAGCTAATTTGGAGGCTGAGGCAGGAGAACCACTTGAACCGGGAGCCAGAGGCTGGAGTAAGCCCAGATTGCACCATTGCATTCCAACAAGAGGGAGACTTCATCTCAAAAAAAAAACAGAAAGAAAGGTTGCTATAAAGTGACAAAGTGACAGTATTAGTTGACATCTGATTATAGATTGGATTAGTCTAGTCTTTATTCTATATTAGTCTAGTTATGATTATTAAATGGTTATAATGCTGACTTGGTAATCAGTGTTAACCGCCCGGTTTGGAAAACTACTGGTTATATAAGAAAATGTTCTCATTCTTAGGAAATATACCCTGAAGTATCATGTCTGCAAGTTAGTCTTAAGTAGTTAAAGAAAATAAAGAATAAGAATGATATATATTTATGACAGGACAGAATCATCTATATACATATATATTTGTATATAGAGAGAGCACATGCAAATATGGCTTTATATAGATGAACCTAGGTAAGGAATACATAGGAGCCCACAGTAATATTCTTGCTTTTTTTTGGAAAAAATTTTTCAAATAAAATGTTTAATTAAAAACAAAACAAAACGAAAAGCAAAAACTAGGCAGGCACAGTGGTTCATGCCTGTAATCCCAGCACTTTGGGAGGCTAAGATGGGCAGATCACTTGAGGTCAGGAGTTTGAGACCATCATAGTCAACATGGTGAAACCCCATCTCTACTAAAAATATAAAAGTTAGCCAGGCGTGGTGGTGCGTGTCTGTGATCCCAGCTCCTCAGGGGGCTGAAGCAGGAGAATTGCTTGAACCAGGGAGGCGGAGGTTGCAGTGAGCCAAGATTGCACCATTGCACTCCAACCTAGGTGACAAGAGTGAAACTCCGTCTCAACAAAAGAAAACAAAAGAAAATATACAGTAGGTCCATAAATTCTGCTGCCACCACCATTCTGAGAATCCAGGGTCTTTTCTACTGAGTCAAAATGGAGTGAATTCATCACATTTCAAAAGGCCAAGTGAGGTGTCAAAAATGACAGGAGAGCAGCTCAGTCTAGAAAGATCCAGCAAGAATAAAGGAGCAGATTTGCTACACCCCATACCACAAGATAGCAGAACGCATGGGCTAGATGGATGTCCCCTACTCCTGACAGAACATGCCTATCGTACCTGCAGTGAGACTCTGGCCTCCCTACCTCTCCCTTCATTCTGTTTCCCTGGATCTTGGCCCAACCCTCCTCTCATTATTTAGCCAAGGCGAGTCCCTAGAAAGAGTAATGTCTTCAGGCTGGGTCTTGCTCCACTTCTGGCTCAGGGATGAAGCTATTTCCTTTTATGTGAGAGTCTTTGCTCTGACAAGAGGTATGGGGCCTGGGTGATTCCTCGGGAGGGAATTTTTGTCCCAAGTTCCCTTCTCCTGGACAGAAGGTCATTAACATGGCCTGCCTGGGCGCTTATCGCTCCATATCTCAACAATAACTCACATTCACCTGCAGGGCTTGGCAGGGCCTCCTGTAGATGTTGTGACCAACGTCCTGTGGCTCTGCTGGCAGGAGCTAGAGAGCCCTACCATGCAGCAAGGTGGCAGGAGCCAAAGGTCTGAAGGGCACCCAGAAAACCTGAAGGTAAGCAGATCCCATGGTGACAGTCATCCAATCGTCCCTCCCCAAACAGTCCCTGGGGCCTCAGGGGGAAAAGCCTGCAGAGCTGTGCAGGAGACATACCTGAGTAATGGTTCCACTCTGGGACTGGGGCAGGGGGAACTTCCACAAAGACCCTTGTGTCTGAGTCACTCCCTCAGCCAGGGAATGACTCAGATACAAGCTAGAGGCCAAGTAATTCCTCTGACTGAGAGAATCTAGGCCAGACACTTTGCCTCTCTAGGCCTGTTTCCTCACCTGTGAAAACAGAAAGAGGCTGTCAAACAGAGACTCAGGAGCCAGACAACCTGGGTTCAAATGCAGGCTCTGCTATTTACTGATGTGTGTTGTTGAATGAGTTACTTAGTCTGTCTGTGTCTCAGTTTCCCCATCACTTATTTATTATTTTACCCTTCTTTAATTTCTGATGGAAAAAGACATTTTCCTCATGTATTTATTGGCCATTTGCATTTCTTTTGTAAACAATGTTTATACTCTTAACTTACGATTTTCCTGAGTTGTTTATTTTCAAAAATTAATTTACAAGTGCTCTTTATACATCGAGGCTATTAATCCTTTGACATATTTGTTATAAACATGTTTTTATAGTATGACATTTGTCCTTATTTGTCATTTGTCCTTAAACTGTACTTATTAAATTCCAAATATCAAGCAAATTTTTCTGGTTATTTTTAATTATCAACTTGTTGATTTTTTTCCCCTTATACTTTCTGCTTCTGGTAGTATTTTTAGTAAAAGTCTTTTCCATGAGATTATTAAAATGATCTTTTTAGCTTATAAGATTGGCAAAGATGCAAACTGTATCTCTTACATTGCTGGTAGGAGGGTAGGACATTCCAGCTTCCTGAAGGGTATTTATATCAGAATTTTTAGAGTGCACACTCATTAAATCACTCTTGGACATCCAACAATATGTCCCAAGGAACTAATTAGTCTCACTAAAGTAAAAGATAAAGGTACAAGATGTTCGCCTCATCTTTGCTTACAAAAGTAAAACAACTGGAAGCAATCAAAATGTGCCAGCAATAATTTATTTTTTTTCATTTATCTATGTATTTATTTGAGATAGGCTAGAGTACAGTGGCATGATCACGCTTGCTGCAGCTTTGAACTCCCAGGCTCGGGTGATCCTCCCACCTCAGCCTCCTGAGTAGGAGGGACTATAGATAAGCACTAGCACACCTGGCTAATTTTTGCTTTTTTTTTTTTTTATTGAGAAGACACGATTTCACCATGTTACCCACGCTGGTCTTGAACTCCTGGACTCAAGAAATCCACCCACCCTGGCCTCCCAATGTGGTGGGATTACAGGTGTGAGCCACCACACAAAGCAATTAAAAGACCGGTGGGCTGATATTGGTGAGTGACAGAATAGAACACAAGACAGGCAATAGAAATAGTAATGGAGGCCTGGCATAGTGGCTCACGTCTGTAATCCGAGTGCTTTCAGAAGCCGAAGTGGGCGGATCAACTGAGGTCAGCAGTTCAAGACCAGCTTGGCCAACATAGCTGAAACCTCATCTCTACTAAAAATGGAAAATATTAGCTGAGTGTGGTGGCAGGCGCCTGTAATCCCAGCTACTCAGAAGGCTGAGACAGGAGAATCGCTTGAACCCGGGATGCAGAGGTTGCAGTGAGCCAAGATCATGCCACTGCACTCCAGCCTGGGTGACAGAGTGATACTGCATCACAAAAAAAAAAGAAAAAAAAAAAAAGGAAAGAAATAGTAATGGAAGCCAGGCATGGTGGCTCACGCCTGTAATCCCAGCACTTTGGGAGGCCGAGGTGGGCAGATCAACTGAGGTCAGGAGTTCCAGACTAGCCTGGCCAACATGGTGAAATCTCGTCTCTACTAAAAATAGAAAATATTAGCTGGGCGTGGTGGCAGACACCTGTAATCTCAGCTACTGAGGAGGCTGAGACAGGAGAATCACTTAAACCCAGGAGGCGGAGGTTGCAGTGAGCCCAGATCATGCCACTGCACCCCAGCCTGAGTAACAAAGCAAGACTTCACCTGAGAAGCAAAAAAGAAAAGAAATAGTAATGGAGTGGTATACTCCCTGACTTGGAAGGGCATTTGTGATGTATTTTGAAGTAGGAAATACAAGTCAGAACATACAATGTGAAGCATAATTCTATTTTTAAGATTATGTAAGTCCAAATCTATGAAAATATTAACAGCTGTTTTCTCTGAGGGAAGGGATTGAAAGGAATTTACATTTCATTTTTGATGTGTTCATTTTCTAACTTTTCCAATAGCCTCATAATTATATATTTATTTGGATAATAGGAATAATAACAATAACAACAATAATGACAAATCAAAACAAACACAGTCTTATGTAGGAAGAACAAATAAAAGTATGACACATCATAGGACTGATGGAAATAGAAAAAAAAAAAACTAGCTTGTATTTATTGAGCCCTAATCTCAACTTAAGCACAGTGTATGGTTATTTCCTCATATTGACTCATTTATTCCTCACACTACGCTCTAAACCGAGTCCTACTCCATTTTTAGATAAAGGCACGGTGCCGAGAGAGGTGAAGAACTGGCACCCAGCCGCACTGAGATACGGATCCCACTAGCCTGGCTGTAGCACTGGGTTTATAACCTCCCAGTCTTGCTGCCTCTTGGAGACAGATTTGTCTTCTAAAAGAACAATGCAACATTTGATGTCCACATTTTGTTTTTTTGAGACAGAGTTCATCTCTCATTGCCCAGGCTGGAGTGCAGTAGTACAATCTCGGCTCACTGCAGCCTCTACCCTCCCCGGTTCAAGCGATTCTCCTGCCTCAGCCTCCCAAGTAGCTGGGATTACAGGCATGAGCCACCACACCTGGCCTAATGTGCTCATTGAATACAACTAAGATCACCTCCAGCTGTAGAAATAGACTGAAATATGAAAGCAGGAAACAGTAATTTGATACATCTGGTAAAACTATAAGGAATATTTTCTTCGATTTCCTTCAACAAAAAGGTAAAATTAGTAATTTCTCTTTTTTATTTAAAAATGTATTTTTTCCTACTGGGGATGCCCATCTGCATACAGAGCCAAGTGAGGCAGACAAAAATCAGTGATTAAGTAACGAAATGTGAAAAACAAAGTTCCCTTCCTCCCTCAGCCCCAATTCCTCCCTAAAACTGAGCAACTATGGGGAGAACCCACTTGAAGATGAAGTCAATCATTATCTTTCTTGGTAAAGAGTCAATCTTAGGCCGGGCATGGCGGCTCATGCCTATAATCCCAGCATTCTGGGAGGCTGAGGTGGGCAGATCACTTGAGGCCAGGAGTTAAAGACCACCCCAGCCCACACAATGAAACCCCATCTCTACTAAAACCACAAAAATTAGCAGGGTTTGGTGGCATGCACCTTTAGTCCCAGCTACTCAGGAGGCTGGAGAAGGAGAATTGGTTAAACCTGGGAGGCAGAGGTTACAGTGAGCTAAGATCACACCACTGCACTCCAGTGTGGGTGACAGAGCAAGAATCCAGATTAAAAAAAAAAAAAAAAAAGTCAGTCTTGGAAAGCAGTAGTGCCCTGTAGTCAGTCACTCTTCTAGCAGCATGACAGCCATCTGATGGGCACCATCTCAGCATTGTGACATGATTGTGATTTACACATCCTTATCATTAGTCCGCAACATTTGAACTCAAAAGCCATATTTTTCCCATAGATACCATCATCTGGATGCTCTTGGTCACAAATCTATGGTTAGAGAGATCTAATCATAGACATCTCATTGCCATACACAAAAGTGAACTCAGTATCTTCTCTCTCAACTTTTTCTTCCTCTTAGGTCACAGCTTCTACCTCCCAAAGCTGTATGTTTTAAAGTTTTGTCTAGCACATTAACTCTTATTACTTATTTTTCATAAATGTCCTAGATATTCTCAAATGTTTCATCTTCAACATAAGCTATATAGAATTGTTCTGTTAAAATTTGGAGCAAAGAGATCCCTTCTAAATATTTTGAGTAACATTGTACTGAACTTGTCTATTCATATAAGAAAATGTTGACAATTTTGAAAATTTTTGAGCCTTCCAATTGAAGAACAAGGCTTCAATATTTATTCAAGACTTTCTTTACGTCTCAAAATGTCATGTTTTATGCTTTCACATGGGTATTCCAATTTTCTTTTTATATCTGTTACTGGATAGTCAACTGTGTTTTCAGTTACGATTCTAAATGGCATATTTTTATCCATTTAATTACTGATTGCAACTTTAAAAAGTCATCGATCCATTTTCCTATAGTCATTTTAAACCAGTCGCCTTACTGAACTTCCTTAAGAACTATAATGGTTAATCTTCAAGAGCTTTTGGGATACACAATTATTTCATCCACAAATACAGTTTTTTCTTGTCTCATCCAATATTTATGTTTCTTACTTCATTCCCTGATTAACTGCACTGGCAGGTAGGTACTCTAGAAGAAAGCAAATTAAAGCAGGGACAGGTTGTTCACTTGAATGTGAACATATGCAGAGTTCTGCCATTACATCTGCTACTGATTTTTCACTTGAGACATAGAAGGTCTTATCAAGTTAAGGAAGTATCTAGGCCGGGTGCAGTGGCTCATGCTGGTAATCATAGCACTTTGGGAGGCAAAGACGGATGGATCATGAGGTCAGGAGTTTGAGAACAGCCTGGCCAAGATGGTGAAACCTCATCTCTACTAATAATACAAAAATTAGCCAGCCATGCTGGCAGGTGCCTATAATCCCAGCCACTCTGGAGGCTGAGGCAGGAGAATTACTTGAACCCGGGAGTCGGAGGTTGCTGTGAGCCAAGATAGCGCCACTGACTCTAGCCTGGGTGACAGAATAAGACTCTGTCTTAAAAAAAAAAAATCCAAATTGTTCTCTTTTATTATGTTTTTTAAAATCCAGAGCAGATGTTGAATTTTATCAAATACTTTTTTCCCATCTATGATGTGGCTATGTATGCTCCCTTGTCCCATTAAAATGGAAAAATTCATTAATCAATTATTAAAATAATATTGAACTTACTGTACTTATACTTTTAGGATAAATTTCCTCTCAGTCATAATGCATTATTTAACATATTACTAATTTTGCATATACATTTATAAGAAGGTTGGGCTATGGTTTTCTTTTGAAATACCACCTTCTCCTGTTTTTGGAATCAATGCAACAATATTGGCTTTATTAAAAAAAAAAATAGGGGGTAATAGTTTCTTCCTTTATAAATTCCCTGGAAGAGTATCTATC